AACGCGAGACCACACACAAGTTTGATCACCCGTCAAAAATTCTTGGAGCTTGGATGGGATGTGTTGCCACACCCACCATACTCACCTGACCTTGCGCCGTCAGACTTCCACTTGTCTCGCTCTCTTCAAAACTCCTTGCGTGGTATAACGTTCAATCCAGATGAGGCTGTAAATCAGCACCTTGTTCAGTTTTTTTGCAAATAAAGACAGGTCCTTCTATGAATGAGAAATTATGAAGCTCACTGAAAGATGGCAAAAGGTTATCGAACAAAACGGGCAATATATCATTGATTGATCTTTGTTCTTTATATAAATAAATGACCTTTGAAAAACATAGACAAAATACGTCATGACTTTTCCGACAATCCAATACTTCTAAGGTCTAGGCTTCTGAATAACACTCAAGTGTTAGTTTATATGGTTCAGATTCTAAGGACTATAAAACCCCCAAAGAAGCAAAGATGGTACAGCAAAAAAAGCATGAATTTGTAGGTCAGAAAACCTGGTTGAAATGTTGGCTCTTGCCCCTTCACTGTGTGATTCCAGAAACTTTCCTTCCACCCTCTGAGTGTCATTATCCCCATCTGTGAAATGGAACCGCCCTACCTGCACAGAGCTGTCAATAGATTAAAGGAGATCATGTGCGTAAAGTGCAGGCCCTGGGTAAGATGCCTCTCCTTTCTGTGCTCTGAGGGAGGAGCTGGAGGAGATGTTTCTAGAAGGCTGATTCCTTCTAGGTCTGATACTCTCAGACTGAAAGGTAAATGAAACATTCTGTGAATCAATCTGTGATCTTCTTGATTACAGATATCCCAGTATGACTCTGGAAAAACTCATGTAGAACTAAGTGGAGCCCCCCCCCCCGCCACCCCCCACCAAAGCATTGGCCAGGAGTGCTGTGGAAGTCACCCTGGTGCAAGATCCACCTGAGCTGAGCACTTTTAACTCTGTCTGGCTACAAGTATCCAGAAAAGCACTTCCTCAGTCAGTAGGATGAAGCGTTGGTACCCAGACAAGCTCCACTAGGCTGGGCCTACCCTGACTTAACAAGACCTACAAGCACCCTCCTCTCAGTGTTGCAGAGAAAGTGGCCCTTGGTTAGGTGCAGGTGGTCTGGGGGGTATGGGGAGCAAGAAAGGCTTCAGGCAAAGCAGTGAGACGGGGATTTCAACGTGGCTCTGTTCTCCCAACTCCTCAGCTCATTGTCTCTCGGGGTTTTCTCTCCCTTACCCTGCTCCTGGAACACTGAGAAAAGCAATTCACACCATTCTGTGAATTTTAATCCTTTTATTACTTCTCCCAATTACATTTGCATTTTACACTTTGTCTCTAACCTCAGAGGTTAAAGGGAGCATGGGGTACCCCAGCATGCTGGGCACCACAGCTCCCACCAGTGTCCCAGGATAGGCTTGACAGCCATGGGAAGTGCATTGGAGACCCACTGAAGCCATCAAAGTCATTCCTTTAGCAAATGTTTTTTGAGCATCTACAGCATGTCCTCAAATAAGGTTGTTTCATTATAATGTCGATGAGATGCCCTAGGAACTTAACTCTTGTTTATATCAATTAGCCTATGGTAAAATTGGTTTCTTATTTTTCTTAAAGTCGCAGAATCTATTGACATCATTAGGTGACGACTTACTGTACTCTGGGCTCTGGAAATTACATGGAAAACAGAGCAGACAAGTTTCTTCTCTCACAGAGCCTATAGTCTAAAGGGGAGATAGAAAAAGCACAAGAAAACAGAAAACAGATCAAGTAAGTACCGATTGTGGAAAGTACTATGAAGGAGGTAGGGGCTAAGAAGGAGGATAAAGATAGAGAATGGTTTTAGATGGGGAGGAGGAAAGTGAAGAAAGGGACATTTGCATTGCGACTAGAGGATGAAGAGGAGCTTGCTCTGGGAAGAGCAGGGTTTGGGGAAGTTCTTTCCAGGCAAAGACACATGTGTAGGGTTTGAAGTTCAAGGTGGATCTTTCAATATAGAAGCTCTGATTGGGACTGGGCAAAATTTGGGAGATAACAGATTGGAGGACACAGTGAGGAAAGGGCCTCGACAAATAAACAATTGTTTGATAAGCTAGCGGTGTGCCAGGTTAAGCAAACTATTGTCCCAAGGATGGGGTTGTTTGGACAGTCTATTATTTAGATAAATTGATTTTCAGGAAATTTCTGAAGCAAATAATTAAGTTACTTACTGGTTTATAGTCTTATTTTCCTGGGCAAGACATTTCTGGAACAAATATTAAAGTCATGTCGATGTAAACAGCCTTAGTTAAATTATGTAGCTGCAGGTGGTCTCAGTCCTGAGAAGCAGTGAGGCTGTGGTAGTCTAGCTGAGAGTGATGATGGCCTGGGCTAGGGTGGGGACAGTGAAGACAGAGAAGTGGGTGGATTGGTATATAGTTTTGGCGATAGATCAACAGCACACACTAATTTGATTAGATGGGAAAGGAGCAATCAAGGATGACTCTTAGGTTTTAGGTTTGAGCCTGGAAAAGTGGTGGTACCCTTTACTGAGATGGGAAAGATGGTGCAGTGCCTGAACAGGCTTGGGAGAGGTGGCTGAAGTTTCAAGTTTGAACATGTCAAGTTTAGGATGTCTGTGAGATCCTTGGGCAGAAATATCAAATGTGTGGTTGGATATATGAGTCCGAAGTGCATGAAACAGTCTTGGAAATTTAAATAAAAAAACTGGGAGAATCATCAGCACATGGTTGTTATTTAAAGCTATGGAAACAGATGAAATTTCATCTAGGAGGAGAAGGTAGAAAGGAAAATGGGGTGCAGGCGAGAGCCCACAGGAAACACCCACCTGGAGACAAGGGTGGATGAAAGAATAGAAAAGAAGGGAGGCTGAGAAAGGGAAACTAGTGAGGTCAGGAGAAATTCAGGAGAGTCTGGAGCCATGAGTGAGCGTTTCAAAGGAGGGAGTGGTTCCCTGGGTTAAATGGTATAAATTGGATGGGTGTGCCTGGGCAATGGTGTGATAGTATGGAAAGACCTAAAATCCTCAGAGTCCGGTAACTTCCTCCAATCACTTATTGGCTATGACCTTGAGCTTCATTTTTCTCACCTTTAAAATGGGGATAATGATACCAACCTCACAGAATTAGGATAAGGTACAAGTACAATAGATACTGTATATGAAAATAGTATCAGGCATAAGACACAGCAGAAAGCCACTTAAAAATATCTCAATTTGATGGCAGCAATTGGGAAGGTGGACACCTATGAAGTGAGATATAGCAAATGGCGGGGGGGGGGCGGTGTTGGAGAGAGGAGAGCCCACTACCTACCTCTCTGTTCTTCCTGTCTCCATCGGCTGTGGCTAAGGACAGATACAGGAAAGGACTCACAATGAAGTTGCTCTTTGAATCTTGATCAGGAGCCAGAGAAAAACACCCAGATATAAGGAAAACACAGACATGTTGGCTAGAGTATCTGGGTACTCTGTTTCTGAAATGGTTTCATCCACAAGCCAGACTGTGAAGAGTTCATATTGGCTTCTCCCACCTCCTCACCTCCACTTTTTTCCCTCCTTTCCATCTCCCACACCCCTAGTTTAACTCAGGCCTACATCATTTTTACCCTGGTTATTGCCATTGTCTAGTCACTGGCCTTCTGGCCTCCAGCTAGAATGATCTCATCAGAGGTCTTGCTTAGAACCCCTCAGTGGCTCCCTAGTCCCTTCAATCAACCAACTGATCGACAAGTATTTTTCAAAGGCCTGCTCTTTGCCAAGCCCACGGTAGGCACAGTGATCTCACAGTGAGTCAGAGACATATCCTTGCCCTCATGGAGTTTACAGTCCAGTGTGTGTGTGTGTGTGTGTGTGTGTGTGTGTGTGTGTGTGTGTGTG